CCCAGTTGGAAGTTCGCGTGCCCAATCATGCATAATTTCCGGAATTTCATCATTAGTTGTGACGTCATGAGTCACAGCCTAAATACCCCAGCGCGCGGGGCGGTGCACTTCAGTTGACGTCAAGAAGAACTAGAGCGAAATCAATGACCAGGTCGTGTTGCACGTTCGTTCGGGAATGGAACTTGAAGCTGCAGTGCGGGTAATAACACCTGGCAACAGGCATGCAACTGCCGCCCAACAAAATCACACAACAATCCGATATGACCCGGAATTTAGAAGTTCAGAATTGCAGGTTGTCATAATAGTTGTCAGGTATAGTTCCACCGAGCATGTTTAATATTTTGATGGTTAAATGTTGGACGAGCCTGGAGGACTGCCAGACACATTATCATTTGACACCATCAGACATTCCGATCGATGTAGTGAACAGTAACAGCCAGTGAACAGTAACGGGGACGGGTAGGGTTAGTGATAGGGGATTAGGGTGGGTACGGGTACGGAGCGGGTGTTCTCTGGAGGGTTTTTAGCAGTGTTTCCCCTGCTGGCCCACTCTCTGGTAAAATGGCCGGCAATGGTCAAATTGGGCCGGCAATGGGGGCCGGCCTCCGGCCCATCCGGCCGGCATTGCGGGGCACCGGCCGGCCTCTTGGGCCGGCAATGAAAGATTATTTCTGGCTCTGTCATCGTATTTAGAGTGCAGAAAGAATAGATTTTGATGAAAATTTAAGGTTTTGGTCCCAAAAAAACTCTCCCCCGGGTACTTCTGGCCATAACTACCACAAAATAAACACCTCGGAAGGTGGTGTAGGAAGTTGGTCGATATTTCACACGTTAAAAATCTAGAGACTTATCAAACTGGAGCAGATATTGTTAAAGTTCCAATATATGGTGTGCGCGCGCGAAAATTTCATATATTTCGGTGGGACTTGGGCCGGCAATGGCGACCTCGGCCCGGCCCAACCGGCCGGCAAACTCAGGCCCCGGCCGGCCCGGCGGCCAGCAATCAAAATAATTAGGGGAAACACTGCTTTTTAGTAACCCCAAAATGCTTATTGTTCACTGGGCTTGCTGTTCACTAGATCGAGAAATACATTTATACTTTGCATCACCTGCCTCCCCTTTCTGTTCGAAGGGAAGAAGAAAGCCAGCTGCCTTTCGTAGACCGCTGTCCCTGTGTTCGAGAAGTCCGTCTTGAGCCCGACCCTTGAGCTTGCTTTGAACCTCTGAACCTTGAGCCCGACCAGCCTTACCGCGCAGCGGCAGGCTGGCAGACATGAACGTCTCCCAGCCTAGATGCCAGCTCTGAGTCTGAGCTTCTCGATTGTTGAGGGAAAAGCTGGCGGCTGCCTCGGGAGTCGGGCCTGGCAGCTCGCATCATCCTGACGCCGACGCCGACGCCGACGAACAGGCTCGTTTTCTGGCATCTGGCCGGCAAGCTATAGCCGGCTATAGTCTTTCGCTTTTGAACACCAAGCTCTTGCTGGAGGCTGTGTTTTGGGCTTCGCTGCCGCTGAAAATCACCAATTGATTCGGCTGAAGGAGTGCTTGGGCCCATGGAGGACGAAGTACCTTCCTATCAGGAGAAGAAAAAGAGGAAGCCATTGAGGTGCGCCTGCACTGATCAAAACGCAATGCATATGATCTGCTTGTCGGCAGATCGACAGGATGCTCTTTGCTATGAGTCACATTATTCCACGCATTCTCATATCAAAACGCTGACCTCTTTGCAGTCTTGCTGTCAATCTAGTTGCTGCGCACATTGCCCCACCATTTTACAAGTGCCGATAATATATCATTGAGTGGTCGGAGCCCGGCGAACCAAAATTGCTTGAAAGCATGTGTCTGTCGTCTTACAATCAACGCACCTATCTGATTACAACAGCATTTGACACAAAACATGGCATCACAAACCTTCCAGAGATCGCTAAGCTCTGCAATTGGTCCTGATATTGCTGGCCTGCAGAGAGATCCCTCCGGGTGGGGTGCTGAAGGCCGTTATACGAGGAGGACAAGATGGAGTGCCGGGTCCGAGAGAGGGTCAGCAGGTGTGCCCTCGCTGCTGTGCGAAACATTATCCCGCTTTCCCAAGCTTCTTAATTTGTTCTGCGGTGCTTCTAGTCAGCGCGCAACGCCATTTTCTGACAAGATTGTCAAACAGATTAGATTGGTACATGTTTGTTGTTGTGATGTTGAAATGCAGACATGTTTAGCGGGGCGTCAGTGGAGGGGGCTTTGGTGACATTCAATCAGGTGGCCCGTGTGTGACCTGACCGGAACAGGGGAACGGTTTACTTGAGGATCGGTCCAATTGGTTTGCAGGTCATTCTTCACTACGTCGTCCGGCGCCCTGACGACACCCCTGCAGTGCTAGAGTCCACCCGAAAGGAGTTCGGAGGTGATACTCTAACCCTCCTCTACAAGCAGGAAAATTGAGAAGATGAGGCACTGAAGTCGATGGCTGTCACTGTCGAGGATACGTTCTTTTTTGATGGTTGGTCACCACTTGGGTTTTGGTAAGATCTACCGTAGCGTGCTGTGTTCCAATCAGTGGCCCATATCTACTTTGGCGTTTCTAGTGACTTTCAGCGGGTGTCTTTGTTGAGCAGGCATCTGAAATCGAGATTCGTACGATGCAGGCACTGGCACTCCAAGGCGTTTTTTGCTGGGAAACGAGCAATCGTTGTGGGCATGGGAGTTTGCCGTCCCCAGCATGCGGAAAGGCGAAATAGCCATGGTGAGCCCCGTCACTGCTCCTTAAACCAGGGCGATGAACTTTTCAGCCCAGGATACCATAGAACAGACTTCGACAATGAAACGAGAAACTCTAAGTATTTCGACGAACTTCTGTTCTTGCCCCGGAAAACCAAAGGACCATCCAACAGCTCCAGCTCCTGGATCTACTAATGACAACTCGACGCTTTGTTCAACGACGCCACACAGATGCTTCTTCAAGTGCTTTCGTGCCCAGGGAACCTGCAATCTCAATCAACTCGGTTTTGACTGAAACTGATTGAGGCAGAAACGGGTCCACATGGTAATAATTTCATGGCAACCAGTTTCCTGCCCCTTACCTTGCAGCTGAAGGTCCAGCCCGAGTATCATTACGGTGACAAGCAGTGCCCCTGGAGCCGGCCCGAACACATCCCCTCTGACGAGCAGCTTCTGTTTGAGATCGAGCTTCTTGACTACATGGACGTCAAGGTCAGCTAACTAAGCTTGTGTTTGAAGCACAAACCCGGGCTCATGATGGCTGCTGTCTCTGCAATTCGGCACATTTAAAACCGTTATTTGGGACATGCGAAGCCGGAGTTGTCTGCTGCAGACTCGTGTGGTTATCTGACTGCCTCCTGTGTGCAGGTATTGACCGAGGATGGGAACGTGGTGAAACAGGTACGCTGCCGTGTGGTCACGTTTCAGACCGAGGACGAATCAAAGGCCTCTGCGTCGTCATTAGAACGTTCGCACTGGTGACGAGGGGGATACGGCCGTTATACGCGGATTTTTCCAAATACTTGCTAGCAAACGTCCATCTGTTGTCGTGATACTCGACCCGTGGTCTCCTTTGCCCCATCGTGGTTTGCTGGCAACCTTGTTACGAAGGTTGAGTACAGTCTGGAATGCAGGAACGGTTCTTTCTTATGTCAACGTAACGGTAGTCCTCACGCCAGATGATGATCCGCATTTCTCTGCAGGTTCTAAGCGAGGGTGATGGCTGGGAGAATCCTCGACCACCATACGAGGTGACAGTCCAGTAAGCTCCCTGTGCATTACGGGGAGCCTGAGGATTTGTCTACAAGAGAGGCTTCTATCTAAAGTTCCTTGAAAGTCGGGTTTATAATTGTCTCATGCTCGCTTGTTCCGGAACAGCGGACAGAACTGGTGGAAGGAGAGTATACGATTGTGATTAGGACTGTTTGTGGTAATGGAAGCCTTTGCTTGCAGGGCCCGCGGTGTTGTTTCCGGGATGGACACGGCGGTCTTTCCAGCATCGGAACCCCTCGAGTTCGCCATGGGCAGTAGCAAGGTGGGCCCCTTATCAAGCATCTCATGTCGAAGTGTGCTCCGAAGCCTCCGAGGTTAAGTTTAGCACGTCCGCCGTTGTCTTCTCTGGGCCTTTCAGATACTCCAGTCGATACGATTGGAGCAGCTCAGATCCGTGCAAAAGCTTTTACCGTGCAGGCTACCGATTCTTCGTGTTTGAACAAGTATGCCCGTTTTTGAGCTCATACTCAGACTGACGACACGGTTGAGATTGCGGGGCTGCTCATTGGCTCCAACACGCTTTCCCGCTTGCGTCCCAGGAGTTATCGATTGTTCCTTTCAGAGCCAGTGTGTCCATTCCTGAGAGCATGCTCACACGATGCTCACACGACACGGTTGAGATCGCGGGGCTGCTCACCGGTTCTAACACGCCTTTTCCGTCGTCCCAGGTTCCTAGGGGCCTGGAAACGGCGTTGCAAAACATGCTGGTCAAGGAGAAGGCGCGTGTCTGGGTGGCGGGGCCCGAGCAGCTGGAGCCGCGGGGCGGCGCGGCGGCCGTGCCTGCGGGAGCGGACGAGATCGACTGCACGCTGGAGCTGCTGAGCATGAACCAGGTGGGTCGCCGGGCAGTCTTCTCGATATATTAACGGAAGTGTCCAGGGGACGGGTGGGGTTGGTTTGGGGGGTTTAGGGTGTAAACAGGCGGACCGCAGAACTTCGCGATGGACGAAGTCGCAGTGCTACCGTCTGAAGATAAGGACTCCAGTCTGCAAAGTTTAGCTAGGGGGTCGCAAACTTTGGCAGGACAGGTTCCGATACCCGGGTTCGGACAAACCGGGCCTAACTGAGAGTAAACGAAAGATTTCGAGCGTTCATTTTTTGACGTCAAAATCTGGACGGCAGCGCTGCGATTCTTGGTCGTCCCCCAGCTATTCTGCGGTTCTGCGGTCCGCCTGTGTATGGGTGCGGAGCATGTCTTCAGGTTGATTTTTGTGATGTCGTCGTTATTGCCCGAGCACCCAGTCCCAATCCCTAGTCAGTTACTTAGCTGGAATTCGAAAAGTAGCCGCCGGGCTCGGGCGCTCAGACTGACGCAGTTTTGAATAGTAGACGGAAAGCTGTTGGGGGCTTCGGCTGCATAAAGATGAGGTCGGAGAGCGGGTTTGGAAGCATTCCGCGTGGTGCACGGTCCTTCCATTCGGACCAACAGGTGGGGCACGCGTTGTAAGACTTGCGAGTATGCTGGCCTCTTGATGGAATGTTCGTCAATCAGTTGAAAGGCGTCGTTATGTGGTGATGTAAGAAGCTCGCACAAACTGCGCGGCTGGTTGCCTGCAGGTGCGAGATGTGATGGGCGATGGCGAGATCACGAAGCGGCGACTGGTCCACGGAGAAGGTGGGCAGTCCCCCATTGCATTCCTTGTCATACTTCTGGCTGTCTTTTCTAAGTGACAGACAGAGTCGGCAGCGAAATAGCTTCTGAAACTGCTTTCTGGACAGCCGCCGTCGAGTTATCTCTTTTCGCACTCTCTACGAAAATTCCCTCCAGCTTTTCGGCTTGCATGTGTTTCGGCGGGCGTCTCAAGGAGCTTCGCTCGCGGTTGATGGCGCGCTGGCAAATTCATTCACATGGACTTTTGCTTCACTCAAAGATCGCTTCGACTTTTTGGACTTGTTTTGACTGGTGTTCCTTTCGCTGCAGGGGACTTCCCGATGGACTGCCCGCTGGAGGACAGCACCCTGGCGGTGCACGTGACGGGCCGTTTGCCGGACGGGACCGTTTTCTGGGACACCCACGGTAGCGTCGGGGGCGGCGAGAGCGCCCCGCTGCCGGAGGTGGCGGGACAGCCGTACGAGTTCGCCACGGGGGAAGGCCTGGTGAGCATCTCTCTGAATTTGAGTATATCCAGATTGTCGGGATCTACTGGCGGGTACGCAGACGCTGGGAGTCTTGTGGACCTATCAGAAGCCGGCTGGGGTTTGGAACCCGATGAGGCGGGGAGTTTCCCGCTTGCAGGGGTGGTGCATAAAGTCAAGAGCTGTGTTGTGTCGCCACAGAGTGCCGTTTCCATACATGAGAGCTTCTACTCGGGAAGGCGCACAGGAGTCAACCCAGATTTGCCTCGTACCTCCGTACGGCGGTTTGTGCTTGGCCCAGGGGTCTGAATACAGCCCACATCCGACCCTCAGTTCGGGGGCAAGTGACCGAGTACGGTCGCCTTCCTTCCATCTGTGGTCAGAAGGTTACCCTCACCCGTTAATGGATCGAACTCTTGCTGGCAAGGTGACTTTAAAGAACTTCGAGATACGGCTCGACACGAGCACTTGCAAAACCTGCTGAGGAGCCATCCAAACATTCTATTCAAAGCCAGACGGGATTGATTTGACTGCAAACTGTGCGTGCAGGTTCCAGAAGGGCTGGAGAGCAGCATCCGGCTGATGCTGAAAGGGGAGCGCGCCATCATTCACAGCTCCGCTAAGTACGCCTACGACAAGTTCCCCAGGTGAATGGGCCTCCTCTCATGACCGGGAGCGCCCAGTCATGTGAGCTGTGAACAGTGAGGAATGCTGAGCTCAATGCGTTCTAGCCACCTGTGGGGCCGGGGTCAGTCAGGCTGCATGCCGACTTCGAAGGACCTAACCCTAGGTTTTGAGCAAAGGAACAGGTGGAAAGAGAACCCGACCGGTTACTCGCTTCAGAGGTCCCGGCAGACCGGAGCGAGAGAGCAAGCAAGTTCGATGGCACGCGGGGGCGAGGGCCTAAATTGGAGAATCCCTAAGGTGTTTCCTCTGGTCAAAGCTTCCTTTCTCGCCTCTCTCCTCCATTCTAGCAAATGCCTAACGGGGTGTTTTACTCGGTTGCAGGCCGGGGGGTGTCCCCGAGGGCTCCCCGGTGGTCTGGGAGGTGGAGCTGGTGTCGTTCGAGAAGGTGCGCAACTGGACGGACCTGGACATGGACGCGGTGCTGCAGGAGACGGTCAAAACGCGCGAGCAGGGCAACCGCCTGTTCAAGCAGGGCAAGTTCAAGTTCGCCAAGGAAAAGTACCTCAAGGTGAGCCCCGCCGCACTTCGCTTCTCGGTCAAATCAAGAGACGAAAGTGGTGAATAGTGGGCTTGAGAGTAAGGGCTTCTGTTCGGAGCTTTCCTTCCTGGGTGTGTCCTTCTTTGCTTCACCACGGGGGTCTGCAAACTGCTTTCCGCCTGATCTTAAAGAATTGGGGTATATCACGACCGTGCAGTTGCTCGAAGAACTCTGTTGAGAACATGGCGGGAACAGTTGGAAAAGTCGAAATCAACAGTAAGATCTGGTTGTGGCTGTTAACAAGGGGGACTCAAGGCATGATGGCAGTTAGCATGGAGCCTACTGAATCGTGAATAATCCTGCTTTCCCTTCTGCGGCGGCAGATTTTGCGGCAGCTGAAGCGGCTGCAAATGGGCGCAACAGCCGAGCAGGCGGAGGCGATCGCTAGCCAGCGCGTGGCGCTGCAACTCAACCTGGCGGCGGTGCACCACAAAATGGAGGAGTACGCCGAGGCGGTCAAGGTCGCCTCTGAGGTCAGGAAACATGGCGTGCTCCACAAGATAGTAGGGCAAAAATAGTCCAAATACACGACAAGTTTCGACTAAGGTAACATCGTCATCCGGAGACTGACCTGCTCCGCACCCCTGCCCATCCAAAATCCCCGGACTAACCTAACCTTCCCAGTGCGGTGATCTTATCTTTTATCTCACTTACTCTTGTCTTGCTCTTGACATCGACCCACGAAACAAACATGCTCGTATAGAGCCCGACAGCAATCGTCGCTGTCGATTGGTTGTGCAAATCAACGGTTTTCGGTCCACAGGTACTAACCGCCCGCCCCTCGTGCCGTGACGGGGCGGGCGATTAGTACCTATGGACAAACCTCGTCACGGCGTGATTACCTAGCTGGATCCTTCGCGAGCCTTATTATTGCATCGCGGCCTAGCTTCCAAACACGCGCGATGCTGAGAAGGATTCGCGTCAGAAGCATTTGTGCGCCCTTGTTTGCAAGTTCTCTTGCCGGCTAACAAGCCGTGGTGATGCGCACCTGCGGATCACTTGCACTTGAGTTGTGGGAGTTGTGACTTTTATAGTCACTACGTCTTCGCCAACCAGATGTGGTAAAGTCTGCACTTATTGTCGTCACCAGTCACAATCACGTGAAGTAAATCTACTCGCTTATCCAGTTTCCAACCGGCCCCAGTCAATGACACGCCCACTCCCCACCTCCCCCCCGCGCAGGTCCTGAGCGAGGACCCGGGCAACGCGAAGGCGCTCTTCCGGCGCGCGCAGGCGTACACGATGACGGGCGATTTCGAGGAGGCGGAGCGCGACTATCGGGACATGCTCGCAGCCGACCCCTCCACAGACGCAGACGCCAAGGCGGGCGTTGCCAAAATCAGACGGAGAGAACAGGTGCGCGCGCGCTGTTGAACCCAACCCGCTCTCAAGCATTCCACTGAAACATTCGAGAAGCTCGATTTGAGTTGGCGCCTTGAGAGTGGTGCGGACGCACCTTCCGTGGTCTGAAAACGCGAAGCAGAGGTTTCACCTGATGTTCCATGCTTAAGGTGGGACCACGTCTCGAAGCGACTCCTCTGCAAGGGTGGATCTTAGCCGTCGCCCTCCTCTTTCCGGCCGTGCAGGAGTACCGGGCGAAGGCCAAGCAGCAGTTTGGAGGCATGCTCAAAAAGCGGCCAGGCGCGCTGTCGGACCAGATAGAGAGATTCGCGGTCGATCCGAAGCCCGGACCAGCTGCATCTACAGCAGCCCAGGAACGGGAAGATGCGGCCGAGGTGGAGGGGGAAATCAGTCGGGAAACGCAAACGAGGTCAGAAGGGCTGTTGGAAACGGACAGGCGAGGCTCGTGGCCTTGGCCTAACCTGTTTCGAAGCTTACGGAACCGATTTTGTACGATCTTGTAAGCTGCCTCAGGAAAGTCTGTACATACGATTGACGAGAACGGCAAAACGGAAGGGCTTTCGGTGAAGCGGTACTAGCCCCGCTCAGCGGCTGCAACTGCCACCTTCCACCTCAAGCAGGCTTGAAGGTCATCCCGTTTGACTCACGAAGTCTTCACGTTCGACAATACATGCGACGCTCAATTGGCGCGGTTTAATGCCGACTGCCCATATCCCTCACTGCAAGGTGAGCCTGAAATCTTTAGGTGACCGGAACTCGTGATGAACCGCCAAAGAGATGCGTGAAGTCGCAAAACACAATGATTGTTGTATTTGATTTCGAAGCGTGTGACGAGGTTGAGTATCTCTATACCGTATGTTCAAGATTGGAATGCGTGTACATACGAGCACTATAATGATTCGATACATGCGCTAATAGACATAAGTTCGTGCCAATTATCATATGCAATGGAAACGCACTCGCGCGCACATATGCAGATTAAAATGTTTGTGAAGACAACCGTCGACATGCACAAACAGTATATGCACTGTATGTTTTAGGCGCGTCTGTAGGCTAGAGGATTGCATGAAGGCGATTGGTCCTATACTGCATGATAGGCAGAATATTTTATAGCCTCGCATTTGTGCACGCGTACCGCATATACATTGGCATGCTCAGCGGCTATATTGATATCGATCATATTTTCCGTCACAGTATATAACCACAATTGCGCGCGGTGTATGAGGACATGCCACATGTACGTCTTGATACACCGCGTAACATGATGCATTGTAAGTCCAAACACTATATGTATATGCCACATGAGAGGGCCAACCACGGGCCCATGTGGCGATATAGGCATGTGGAAAATGATCGAAGACTTGCCAGGGTACATATCGCTTACAACGCTGCTATTGTCAACTTATATTCTGGAAGTGCGACTTCCGCTGATTGCTGTAATCGTATTTACAAACTACATCGGATTGCTAGGACAGGGGTTCGGTGGTAGCTACAAGTGCGCAGCTTAATACTATGAGGACAGCGCCAGCTCCTCCTAAAATGTTCAATCTCTCGCTAAATAGGGCAGTGCCGAGCAGAGAACGTAACAATACTTTCAGGGATTGTACCGAGGTTCCTCGGGCGGCTCTTTCTAGTTGCAGCCCTCGTGCCAACAGAACCTGTGCGGCAAATGCCAGCATGGAAACCAGGCACGTTCCCAGGACTTCCCACGCCCCTAGAAACACAAATTTTTGCGTGATGCCTAACATACAAAGAGCAGCTGGCCCCGAAAACGCAGAGAAAGCAAACACGGTAACTAACGGTGACTCTCCCGCTTTCACAAAGCTTCGTACGGCACAGAGCGCAGCTGCCCCCGCGGCCGTGGCCACTACGCACACCAGCAGCGCCAACGGGTCGTCCCACCCGTCCTGGCCTTTCTGGACGCTGTACATTCCACTGAGGCCCGACAGCATGGGGTTCTTGAAAAAGAGCGGGGGCTGCGCCAGCAGGATCACGCCCACAAACCCGAGCGCCATCCCGAGCATCTCCGTCAAGGCCGTCTTCTCCTGCAGCGCCACATGAGCCATCCCCGCAACGAAGAAGGGTCCTAGATACGTGATGGCCGTCACGTCGGCGGCGCCCAGCGCTCCGAGGCTGAAGAAGAACGAGGAGAGGGCTGCGAACCCGCAGAGCACGCGGGCGGCGAGGAGCCATTGAAGATCCGGGCTGCCCAACAGCGGAATCCCCGCTTTCCGCAGCATGAGCCCGGACACGAGCGCGATCATCCCGCAGCGCATCGCTGCAGTCTGAAAAGGGGGGATGGTATGCGCCGCAAACAGCACGGTCGGCACCTCCATCAGGGCATAGCAAGCGCAGGAGAGGGCCACGCACAGCAGCCCCGAGTGTTTGGACCCCCCCCAAACCCACTGGAACAGCTCGGTCGCCCCGCTCGCTTCCCCAATATTTACTCGTTTCCGCCGGTCCTTTTTGGGGGGGCGTGTGCTCTTGGCCGCGCTCGCCTTGCCCTCTTCCATCAGGAGCGCTTGCTTTTCTGAATCAGCATCTGACAGGGTGTCGCCCTCGGTCACACGGTCACTCGCAGTTGCAGCCCCACCAACCGTCAGGTTGATCAGTCCGATCTCACCTGAAAGGAGCAATTCTGAGGGTCATTGGAGGCTTTAGGGGGGATTCTATCATAAAAGCCTAATAAGATCTGCCAGCAGGCGCAATAAGAGTCCCATTGCGAAATAAGCAGCCTTCAAATGAAAAAACGAGTTGTGCAGTGCGCCACAGCTTGCGCAAATTGTCCCCCATCAGGAGCTTAGAGACGAGGAGGCACTCAGTACAATGAGCTCCTCGTCCGACAGTTAGGATGAGTTTATTGCCTTTTCTTGGCCCCTGTAACGAGGTTTTGTTGAATGTACCCCCTTTGCTCATCATTCTTCAATTGACCAACATGGCCCACCCCTCACAAAAAAACGAGTGCTGCCAAAAGTTGAAGAAGGGGGAGATCTGTTTCTTGACTCAGACATCTGTTCATATCCAGAATCGCAACCTCGGCAGAATCTAATCACATCATCAGGCACCACCTTGTTATGTGACCTCACTCTTGAAAGATACTCTCGCATCTTCCAAACCCGGGGCCACTAACCGGACACCCTATCGTTGATCAGTAGACTTCATCGGTCCGCTAGATTCTTCAAATTCTGCTTGGACTTTCAGCCTGGCTCACATCATTCTGCAGCAGGATAATGAGAGGTGAAGGAGACTTGCGCACCTGCGGATACACGCCTGTCCACCATGCTCTCTGGTCGACTGTTGCTCCGTCCCAGTCGGCTGGGTGTTGTGAAGCCCTCCCCACGCCCAGTCTGATTGCTGGTGGTTGAGGACAGCGGGGGCGTGCCAACCACGTCTCCCTTGCTAGCCCGCGTGCTGCGTGCCTCCAAACTGGTCATCGTGTCCAGGCATCAGCATCCTGATGTGAACCCATTCAGAATGTGCAAGTTTCTTAGCACCTTGCTTGACAGATATCAACAATTCGCACCGCACCTAGCGGCCTACATCCTGGACAGGCTTGGCATGGGGCGTCGTGGCATCAGATGCGCAGGCCATTGATAATGCTTTCCTGATTTTCAAATGCTTGATCGCGCACCTTCCTTGGTTTTGCTCCAGTGGCAGTGATTCCTCCCGACAGTGAAAGCCGATTGGTGTTCTCTCATCCCCGATTCAGAGCAGGGCCAAGTGTCCTACGGAAGTGTCATTGTCACTTGCTTTAGTCAATATTTGAAAACCAAGTTCCTCTTGACACCAGTATTCAAAGTCTGGCTTTGAAAGGCTTTGAAAGTTGCTTTTCCAGTTGATTCTCCGTTGGTTGGGCGCAAAAAGGGCGTCCAGAAGGTTTGTTGAGAAGCATGGAGACCAACAAGGGAGGGAAGTATCCTGCACCAAGTTTTTCCACAGAGAATGAACCGTTCTACGATCTTCTAAAGACAGGAAACAACGCGAATCAGCAGTGAGTGCGGTGTTGCTTTCCTCATGCTTTTCTTTTGCAATTGCTGCAAAATCGTGGTCATGTCTGACTTCAATTCATGTGCAAGTGCCTCACTTTGATTGATATGCGTTGTGTCCTTAGCACGCCCTGAATCCTGATTCGTGTCATGTATGACAAGAAGGCAACTTTGACGAGGGTTTCTCTTGTCGAAGTATCATATCAAGGAATGGGTGCTTGTTACATGGGCTTTCAGGAGCTGCTTGGCTTACGGCGCTGGCCCAGTAAGGGCATGAAAAGCTTGTGCTTTAGGGTTCAATTTTCACCATCTGTCAGGCTGTGTGCTTTGACTTTCACATCTCCCATGTTTTTGGTGTGTATTAATTTCCCACATGTGTAGATTTTGTTGTTGATGCTGGTTCTCTCTTAATAAATAAGAGGATATGCGACATGAGTTTCAGGGACTCCTCCGAGGGCCAAGGCGCTTGGGAACACCTTTTAGAAAGCCTACAGGAAGGATATTCTTCACATGTCCTCTTCGTGTTGAGGAATCATTGGTGCACTTTTTGTTCAGGTCCTCTTTGTCAGGGGTTGCAACCAATCCAGTGGATTTTGGGGAGAACATCTTGCCAAGCTATGACTTCCATCCCACCAGGCCAGCACCCTCTCTCAACAACGGCAACAAGATGATGTCACCTACGCTGTCTGAACAAGTAAGACTTGCTTCAGATATTGTCTGTTAGTTTTCTGTAGTGATAGTTTGCATCTGAGTAGTCCAATTTGCCAAATCCCAGACAGACTTGCCCTTTATACTGCTTTGTGGTTTCAAGCTCAAGGTGCTCAGATTCTATGATGCAAGCATTCAAGCCAAGCCCTCTTGCAAATCCATTGAGTGCTCCCGCGTGAGGAAGCTGCTGTTTGCTACTTGAATATGGCCAGGAATTGTTTGTAGGGAGCAAGAGCATGCACTCTGAATTACCTCTTGTTTCTGCTTCTTGTTAGTTTTACCCCAGGGCACCGCTCCAATCAGAGCTATACCTTTGACATTGCTTCTGACGCTTTCTTGGGCATTCAGTTGTTCATGCGTAAGTCTGATTCGACCAATGCGACCAAACAGTTGCTTGCAATAATGATAGACTTCGTTGTGAACCTCTGAGATGCGGAAGCATGGCCGCCTTGTAGATTTGTTAGAGGGCAAGGAGTTAACCCTTCAAGCAATCCTCGGACCGCTTTCCCATTTGCCGTGTTGAACAGCTTATGATCTCTCTGCAGTCGCTGGACGGCAAGTCCTCAACCAGTGAGCCCCTCCATGGCAAGCAAGAGCGCTCGGTTGCCGACGTGGACGATAGCAAGGACGCCGTAGCGGCAGTGGAGCGCACGATGAAGAAGTATGCCGACAACCTGCTGCGAGTGCTGGAGGACATGCGGGGCAAGCTGACGCAGCTGGAGCGCACTACAGACCGCCTGGAGAGCACCGTCGCAGAGCTGCAGAACAGGAGCGCCGACCAGCATGGGGAGCTGGACGGGCGCGTCAGGGGGCTGGAACACGTCCTACGTGAGGTGCGCGTAAAAGCAACGCGACAGTGGGCCTAGGGACATTGTGTCTGAGGAGGCTGGGCTTGAGTGGACAAGCACAGGGCTGCGCTGCTGGAGAGAGACTTTGATTTTCAGTCAAATCACTTTTGTTTATTAGTAATTCAGCACTCCACTTACCTAATCTGTCCTACTGCTGATGTCAAGCTAGAAGCCGCAAATGACTTACCTCAGAGCATTACACTCTGTTGGACGTCTGAAGCAGCTGTTCTGTTTCCCCCTCCCCGTGCAGGTACAGCGCGGCGTGCAGCTGCTGCGGGACAAGTCGGAGCTGCAAGAGGCACAGGCGGAGCTGGCCAAGATGCAGATGACAACCACCGCCGCCAAGCCTCCCCTTCCCGCGCAAGCCCCTCCTGCGCTCACGGCACCGCCCCAGACATTCCCGGCGCTCACTGCTCCCCCGTTGGTCCCTGAGGAACCCGCGAAGCCAGCGGCGCCGATGCAGATGCAGCCACAGCCCCAGGTAAAAGGCTGTCCCGATGAAAATCGTTGTACTGTACTGTACTGAACGAAAAGAAATCGAATCTCTGTGGGCCTCTTCAAGTTTTTGCAACTACCTCTTCAACCGTTTAGGCCAATGACTGACAGATTCTGTCCTCTCAACTGCCTTGAGAATACCAAGAAGAGGCACTTTCCAGCTTTGAAACAGGTTTTACTTTCACGCCGTTCAGCTCCACTTGGCACAGAGATTCTCTGACACTGAACCACTGCGCGCCAATCCTCAGGTCGAGCAGCAGCCAGCGCCTGCCCCTGTCCCCCTCCCATCGGCTCCTTCTGCCCCCCCTCAGCAGCTCTCCGTTCCGGTTCCTCAGTACCAGGCCCCCCCCAAGCCCCCAGCCAGCCCCCACCCCAGGCACCCCCCAGCCTCAAGGGCCCC